TGCTTAGGTTCGATCATTCAGTGTTGCCGAGCATCTCAAGTGCTAGTCTCGGAGAGAGACTCTCGAAGAGATTCATGCTCGTGGGTTTGACCTCACTGATGAAGATGAAGCTCCCGGGGAAGATTAGGCACTTAGAATTTTTTCTTCTTTTTTGGATTTTTGTGTAAGACCCTGAGTGGTCTTTGTAAATACTTTTTCATATATGAAAGAACCTTTTTCTTTCCGATTTGTCTCTATTTTGCTTTTGCTTTATGATAATTCTGATATACTTTAGGTCTTGTGAGAAATTTGACTCACTTCGTTGCCTTGTGAAAATTTTGTTGGAATCGGATTGCTATAGTCTCTATAATCGAGTGAGTACTTTCTCGAACTCAGAGTAGAAAAAACCCTTAGATTTTGGTTAAGCGAGGGCGGGTCATCGAGCTCAATAATGTAATGGCCCTTAGGCTCTTGAATCGAGTCGATATGTCCTCAAAAGAGTGGCTTTTTCCCTTTTTCGGCTTAAAAGTTTAATCATATAAAAATTTGTTATGCCTTAGCATGAGATAAATCTGTACCTATTAGGATTCAACGTTATTGAAAAACTTTGTTATGCCTTAGCATTAGTTTGTTCGAGAGTTCGAACAATTTGGTACCTCTTAAGGTTTTCGAGGGTTGATGTTATCGAAACCCTATGTAAATTTGCAAAGGGTAGCCCTTTTTTAACCAGTTTTATGAAAGTATTTGAAGGCCTTTTTGATTACAAAATTCGGACGTCTCTGAACCGTGTTAGTTTGGACGTAGTCTTTAACTTGTTATTTGACAATTGGGCTTGTTTCTCGATTATACTTCAAACTTGTTCGAAGTATCAGTCTCCGAGTGGGGTGGTTATTGTCTATAAAATTGAAGATTGCCTTTTTAAGGTACTAAGATTTCAAAGTTTAATAATTCGAGCATGTTGATTTTCGGACAACAGCCCCCGAGTATGGGGTTAATTGCTCGAGCTTTAGTTAAGATTGACTCTTGAGACGGTTTCCATAATATATCGTAAGCACGAAGTTGTAAAGTTGAAATTTCACTAAGGCATGGAACATCTGATAAGGAAAAAGTACTTCTTTCAATAGATCATTCATGCATACATGTATTGTCATTAGGGCTCGGGCAATCTACATGGGCACGGTTCACTTGACCGTTTGGCCCTTTACAAGATTTTCCTATCGAGACCCTGTTGACACAAAGCATCTTCCTTGAAAATATAACATCGAGGGTGATGCCCCCCAGTATTCGAGGTTGATTGTAAAGAAGCCTCGGATACTATTGAATTGTCCCCAGGTAGCACAGATAATTGTTGCCTCGTTAAAAACCTCACCGGAAAAACCCATTTGGGACAAAAAACCGATCTAAGGGAAAAAGAGTGCAACGTATGCTTTAAAACCTGAGGTCTTTGAAGAATTTCCATGTCTTTGATCGAACACTTGTAATAAGTTAGTATCGAAAATAAACAAAAAAGGGAGAGAGTCATACCTTAGCAATAGTATCGTTTGAGGAGTGATATGTTCCAATTATTTGGCAGTTGTTCTCTTTTCATCGTGCCAAGCTTGTAAGATCCCTTTCCGATGACACCGAGGACCTGGTATGGTCTTTCCCAATTTGGGCCGAGTTTCCCCTCGTTTGGATCTCGAGTGTTGAGGGTGACTTTTCTCACAACTAAGTCCCCTATTTTGAAGTGTCGAAGATTGGCTCTTCAATTATATTATCTTCTGATTCGCTGTTTCTGGGTGGCCATTCTAACGAGGGCGGCTTCCCATTTTTCTTCTAGCAATTCGAGGCTTCTGTTCATAGTCTCGTGATTTGATTCTTCCGTTATGTATCGAAACCTGATGCTTGATTCCCCGACTTCGACCAGGATCAGAGCTTCGGCGCCATAAACTAAGGAGAACGGTGTTGCCCCCGTACTGGATTTTGTCGTTGTCCGATGCCCAAAGGACTTCGGGAAAAAATTCTCTCCATTTTCCCTTAGCGTCGTTCACCCTTTTCTTTAGGTTTTGAATGATGGTTTTGTTCGTTGATTCGACCTGTCCGTTCCTACTAGGATGATACGGCGTCGATAATATCCTTTTTATTTTGTGATCTTCGAGGAACTTTGTTATTTTGCTGCCGATAAATTATTTTCCATTGTCGCACACTATCTCGGCGGGTATCCCGAACCGGCATACGATGTGATCCCAGATAAAGTCTATAACTTCTTTCTCTCTGACTTTCTCGAAAGCTTGTGCTTCAGCCCATTTAGAGAAATAGTCATTCATAAATAAAATGAACATAGCTTTACCTTGGGCCGATGGCAGAGGGCCGACGATATCCATTCCCCATTTCATGAACGGCCATGGGGATAAGGCTGAATGAAGCTGCTCCCCGGGCTGATGAATCATCGATGCATGTCTTTGGCATTTTGTCGCATTTTCGAACGAACTCCTTAGTATCTTTTTCCATACTGCCCCAATAATACCCTGCTCTGATGACTTTGTGAACCAGTGATTCGGCACCGGAATGGTTTTCGCAAGTGCCCTCGTAAACTTCTCGTATGACGTAGTCGATGTCTCCCGGACCCACGCATATTGCCAACGGTCCATCAAACATCCTTCTGTACAATGTTCCATCTTCGGCCAATGTGAATCGTGCAGCTTTCGTTCGCAGAGTCCTCGATTCCTTAGGGTCCGACGGAAGTTTCCCATTCTTCAAATAATCGATATATTAGTTCCGCCAATCCCAAGTTAGGCTTGTGGAGTTTATTTCGGCGTGGCCTTCTTCGACTACCGAGTTTGAAAGTTGTAACCACTTATCCCCTTCGCAACATTTTGCACAAGCCCGAACTCTCAGGTTGAATGGACAAATGGGCCGTCGAAATTAGTGGGTACGATATCGGGTATCAACCCCGAACGGCCATCAAGTCTCAAATCTTAGCAGACTTCGTGGCCGACTTTACACCAGCCCTTGTATCGGGTACATCCTCGGGGGTGTAGACCCTTTTCACATATGGTGCTTCGAGTGTGAAGGAGTCCGGGCTAGGCATCGTTTAGAAGCCACCCACAGGCAATACAATTAGACAATCTATCAAAACCCCTAAGTTGACTAACAATGAGGCCGAGTATGAGGCCATGATTGCAGGTCTCGAGCTGGCTAAAAGCTTGGGAGAAGAGGTCATCGAGGCCAAGTGTGATTCCAACTCGTGGTTAACCAAGTCAACAAAACCTTCGAGGTTCGAGAAGATCGAATGCAGAGGTACTTAGATAAATTGTAGGTGACCTTACACCGGTTCAAAGAATGGACCCTACAGCATGTACCTCGAGAGCAGAACGGTGAGGCCGATGCCCTTGCAAACTTGGGGTCATCAGTTGAAGATGATGAAATTAGCTCAGGGTATCTGTATACGGTTAAAATCGGGCTTGCCCGATTCTGCTATTTAATCGAGACCAGGAGACCACGTCGAGGGTCAGCCTCGCAATGGATTGAGCTATAACACGAAGAAGAGGTGTCGAATTCAAGAATCGAGATATCCGTCAAGACCGAGGCCAGCAGTAATTGAGACTAAGTATGACCGACTTCGAGTGAAGTGCAATACAGAAAGGCGAGATATCCGTAACCGGTCGAAGATCACAGCGCAAATTCCGGAACAGATCGAGTCAAGGGTGGTTATTTGTACCAATCATGGGATTTACTTCCGTAATTAAAATTGTACCATAATTAGGATTTCTCTAGTATATAAAGGGGAGTCCCCATCATTTGTAAGGCACCTTACATTCATACAGATCAAGGCAATATAATATTTCTCTCTTTCTCTGGCTTATCAACTTGTTGCTCTTTAACTGCTCTTACTTTACTAAGCTCGAGGGTTCATCAGCTCGAGGGCAGTGTCCAAGCATTGGTTTGTTTTGCATTCTTGTCAATTCCCGTCACTTATCTTTAAGTTAATCAATGGAATCAGGTGAAATCATGTATACTTAAAACCACATTACAAATTTAATTGTTACTCAATTTTTAGGATAAACAATAATCTTATCGAATTCCATTGGAATCCACCTGATATTTATTCCACTTACCCTTTTCATACCCCTAATGAAGGTGTCTCACAGGTCCAAAGCTTTCAAACTTGGTAGTGAAGCTACGTTTTGAAATTGCCTTCCTCGTCTAATCGCCATTAATTGGGTAACTAATTAGTTAATGGGAAAGAGTAAGGAAGCATTTTAATTCATCTTCAAGGATTCTTGGAGCCCGTTTGGACATAAAAAAAAAAATTGTCCTTTTTTCCAAAAAAAATTCACTTTTTTTCCGAAATCAGCATTTGTTCATAAAATTTCCCAATTTGAAAAACTCCAAAAAGCTGTTTTTCAAATTTTTCACTCAAATCACTCACAAAACTTCAAAAACAACCCAAAATTATATTCATGTCCAGACACAACTCTAAATTTCAAATACTATTTTTACTTGAAATTTTTTTTCGCCCAATTTTGGAATTTTACAATTCTTATGTCCAAACGCCCACTTGGTTTGTTTGTGACAGGAAATAGTTTGATAAAGTTTACTTTTCATTCTGTTACTTCTTTCCCTCCAATCACTCCACATTGACCACACTTCGACCGTTCTGCGTGGGGAAAAGCGATAAACTGCTTCCAAGTCTAGGTCATCCTCGAATTTGCATCAATGCACATAGTTAACTTGGTGGCTCAGTAAAGTAATACTAGTAAATGTTTTTGAAGATCTTTCTGGAAAGAGATTTAAACAAGAAAATATAGGAAGCCAAAAGAACACAACAAATTTTGCATGGTGCATCTATGTTGACCCACATTTCACAAAAATTCCAAGACCATTTCTGTTACCCTACTAATTACTAAAGGACTGAGTTTGCTTTAGAGAATTGTGGCAAACAAAAACATAGGTTACTGCAAATAGAAAGACCGACTGTGTTCAATGTTCATTGTAATCACTCATCGAAAGTAATTTACTTTGCTAGTCAGCTACCATGGAAAAGCAACAATTTCAAGTTTGATTTCGAAGAGACGGTCAATCTACTTAGCATGTGGAGTGTATCTAACATTCCAACTAACCAAATCAAACTTTTAAGATAAGAAAAGATTCAGCATAAACACGACAAAAGCAAAACTCATGTCAGCTTGTTGGTTGCAAATCTCGAACCAAGATTTATTCTTACTGTTCAAGCCTTACAGTTGTTTATACATGAGAAGAAACGCATTAAAAACATTTTGAGGATTCAATTCCAACTAGATCCAAGCTCAAGGTTCTCCACCAAGCTCCACTCTTAGGTTGTCATATGGATAGACCTTTGGTGTCTGCTCATACAAAAAGGTTACAGAATTAAAACAAAGTCGGCCAATAAAAATGAAAATAAGGGGAAAAAAATAAAAGCATGAGTTGTATGATGATCAAAGAAAGAGGCAAACAGAAAGGGCCGACTACATATTAAAGTAAAGGCAATCTGGCACAATCTGTAATCCCTAGGGTACAGTGTTTAAAAAAGCGATCGCTTCGTCGCTTTAAGCGAGAAGCGATGCGAAGCGAAGCGACAGTGCGTCGCTTTTCCGAAGCTGAGGCGATGCGATTTTCAACAGCGACCCCTTCAACACCTGAAGCGAGAAGCGACGCAGAAGCGAAAAGCGAAAAGCGATCGCTTCAATCAAAAGGGGTCAATTCTTTTAAAAAAAAGATTGGGTCTTTTTTTTATTATACAAAACATAGACCCCGAAGTGAAGACATTTCATTCTCTTCCATTCCATCAAGCATCGCTGCTGCTGCTAGGGTTCCAGAAGTCCATCCAGGTACTTTCTTCTTCTCCTTTTTCTCTCTCTTCTTTCTTCTTCTTCCCGTCGCGTCCAGCTCACTGCTAGGGTTCCAGCGTTCCTTTTTTTCCCCTTTTATTCTTCTTATTTAGCCTTTATTTATTAATTTCTGTGTATTTCAGTTTATAAACTTCATTATTATATTTTGAAATGTTGCTGCTTTGCTGATTTTAGTATATTAAACTTAATTATTATTATTTTTTCGGTTTTTTCCTTTTTCTTTGAAATATTGCTGATTTCAGTAATATATATATATATATATATATATATATATATATATATATATATATATATATGTTATATTTTCAGTTTATTTCATTGTGTTTGTTTTTCTTATATCTTAATAGGGATATATATTGAATTTTTTTATTATTTATATTGTCTCTTTGCAAGATTTACTTTATGTTTTTTAAGAATTGTTCTTCACTTCAATGAAGCGTGCCCTTCGCTTTTGAAGCGGGGCGAGCCCCGCTGTTTCGCGCTTCTCGCTCCCAACTAGTAGGTGGAAGTCACAGGAACCCTCAAATGCTTTCTCTTGCAGCTTAGGATATTGACAAGGGCTTGTACTGCTCAGAGCACCATCTCAACCCCCCCAAACCCACCCACCCACCCAAGACGATTCGAAAATTAAAAACAAATGATAAATACACTCAACTATGTTGCAGTGAAGGGGACCCTTGGCGTAACTGGTAAAGTTGCTGCCATGTGACTAGGAGATCACGGGTTCAAGCCGTGAAAACAACCTCTTGCAGAAATGCAGGGTAAGGCTGCGTACAATAGACCCTTGTGGTCCGGCCCTTCCCCGAACCCCGCGTATATCGGGAGCTTAGTGCACCGGGCTGCCTTTTTTTACTCAACTATGTTGCAGACATGCACCAAGATGTAACCTTTGGAAGCATCTAGACAATCTCATAGAAGTTCTAGTACAACTTTTGGAACTATAATCGCATTAACTAGTAAGTATAGTGTCAAACCATCAGCTGCTCTAAATGCATTCTGTATTGTTGAAATTAAGGATTCAAGAGGGAAACTCTATCTCACACGCTCTAAAATATTGACTTCTGAAACCAACTCCAACTAGTACCAGATAACATATCAAACACTTAGACATCTTCGCAACATTATACAGCAATGACATTAGTGCTATTTAGTTATACCAACAGCACAAAGCAAATTAGTAACAACACTAAGCCAGCGGTCAACACTTGCAACTTTTAGGAAGCAACAACCATTCAACAATGAGGACAATAATCAGCAAAAAGAATACAACAAAGAAAAAATCACTTGAAACCTTTATACTCTTTTCTAAAACAATGAGCTCATGAGACTTCTCTCTATGCCTATTGCCTACCGAGGTTCAGCCACTGTTTCTTCAAAAACCTATAATCTGACCGAGTAAAGAAACACATTACCCCCACTGTTCTAAAAGGCGTGGGCATGATGCGAGGTGTTTATCTAACATGGGTGAGGCGTAAGCCCTGGGCGCAGTGTGTATGGTCCATGGATCTTCAATTTTAATATTTTATAATTTAATAAAAACTATTTAAATAACAAAAAAAAAATACATTATAATTGTAGAAAATTAAAAAAAGGCAGAATAGCCTCGTAGGCACTTGTACTTGTTAGCGTTTGTCATCCCGGTCACTATACTCAAAGAAGATTCATCCAGACACTTATAGTTGTTCAAAGCCAATATTTTAAACCCCTCTCACCTCGCGTGTTCTTCAAATCTCTGACATGGATGACACATCAGTGGCCACGTCAAATTTTTTGTTACACATCATTATAACTTATTTTTCACATTATTTTAAAATTATTCATTTCCTTTTCTTTTATTCCACCATTTACTCCATCTTCCTCCTCCCTCACCATTTTTATTCTCCATTAACAAATTTTAAAAATCTCCTAACCATCACTGTGTGCGACCCCTCTTCGACCATCCTTCACCTACAAAGCTTATTCACAGCCAACATTCCACCATAGCATCACCAATCAACCACCAAAAGCTAAACCGGCCATCAATAATGACCACCCGAAAGACCAACATCACCCAAAACTTTTTGAAATTTCACTACAAAAAAACTAGAAAATAGGTTTCACCGGCGATCTTCTTTCATTATTTCTATTTCTTTTCTTTGCAAAGGCTATCTTTCAAAGTAGGGAATGGGGTGTGAGAAAAAAAACTCCCCAAAAATTGATGCAAATCTGGTACATGTTTTGGATCTATAGCGACGAGGGATGTCATTGTTTGGATGAAGATATGGTGGGGAGGGTACCGTTGCTGTGGGTTTTGGATTAAAATGGGGGAAGAGGAGCAAAGTGAAGAAGGGAGGGAGACAGAGAGGGGGGGTGCATCCTTGGTCGGCGACAGAACATAAGAGAAAGAGAAAAATCACCTATTTGGCCTTTTCTTTCTTTTCTAATTTGATTTTTTGAATTTTTCTTTTTCTTTTTTTCTTATTTTAATCATAATTTTTTTACGTTCACGCTCCTTATATGCGTGAAATACACGATTATGTCCGGTTCAGCGATTAAGTTGCCACATAGACTTGGTCAATGGTCAGAGGGGTTTAAAATATTACTTTTGAACGAGTAGAGGTGTCTAGATGAAACTTCATCAAGTTTGGGGACCGGGATGACAAAGTGGCACAAGTATAAGTGTCATTTAGGCTATTCTCTGCACTATTTGCAAATATTAAAACCTCATATCTCCTTCGTTATAAGGTCAAATTAAGTGATTCAAAATCCTAACTTGACTAGAATTTCACAAGGAATCCATGGAGGCATAAAATATGAGTTTCGGGATCATTTGGCATGAGAAACGAGGCAGAATAGCTGGCAGAAGAATATATAAAACTAGGGTTTGTTCATTCGGTCATATTTCAGTTGGGGAGCTCGGATTTTGGCGATTTTTGAGGCGATTTTCACCATATGGATCGGGTTAAGTGTTATCTACTCGATTTTGATTATAATTTATTAATCCATCTTCGTTTTTGGGATTTGATTGATGATTTCAAAGTGAAATTGAGGGAGTTAGGGTTTGAGTTTTGGAGAGTTTTAAGTGAGGATTTGAGGGACCAAACAGAGTCCGATTTGACAAATTTTATATGGTTAGACTCAGGAGAGGACGAGGATTATTATTCTACCATCTTTGACTGGTTTCGAGACATGGGCCTGGGAGCCGGGTTTTGGCCGATTTTGGATTTTTGGCATGTTTATGTAGTTTTTATTGTGTAATTCGATTCTTTAGAGTATGTTGATAGTAGTATTTTGATTATGGTTAGATTCAAAGCTTTTGGAGACCGAGTCGTGGGACGAGGACATCCCGGAGTAGGATTTTACGCTATTGAGGTAAGTAACAGTTTTAACTCTGGCTTTGAGGGTATAAACCCGGAGAAATTGATATCATGTGATTGTTTGGTGGTGATACCCACNGAGGGTAAAGGCCAAAGCTAAGGCAATTTCTCATCAGCACTTTCCTACAGATGAAAAAGCAGCAGAAGAAAAAGTTGGTGTTTTGACTCGGAGTTTCACATCTTTAAAGAAAACAAGGGGAAAAGGGATGGAAGACACATCAGTTTTTAGTTGCCCTACTTTTCCAAAGACAAGAACCAATAGGTCTCTCTCTCTCTCTCTCTCTCTCTCTCTCTCTCTCTCACACACACACACACACACACACACACACACACACATACACACACACTTTTTCTATTTATGTCTGCCTCTACATGCATGTAATCTTGAGGAAGCAGTTTTCTTTCCCCCTTTTTCTTATATCAGCTGTTTTTTCTTCCTTTTTTCTGAGGTGACTCACGTGAGATTTGAAGCTTGTTGTGGTGATATCATTTGCTTATATCCTGTACCAAATATAGATTGTTGGTTGATTGAACTTTCATGCTCCTGACACGTACATGCAGTTTTACCTCTAGTTTTGACCCTGAGAAATTCTCAGTGGCACTTCCTCATGAATTTGTATCCTTTCCCAGTTTTAGTCTGGCTGAAAATGTTTCTGTCTTGGCAGTGCACTCAAGCTACTATTTATTTCTTTATCTACCTGAAGTAGCATAATCTTTAATGAATTGGGTGTCTTAGTTGCAATTGTGTTCACTTTAAAGGCTCCGCACATGCTTAATACGCAAGATAGCTCTGCAGCATGCACATTAGCAACACCTTCCCCTATCCCCATTTCTTTCCTGCGGCACATCTAAAATTGAGGCATTTATGTTTTGAATGGAATAAAGACATTATAAATGTGAAAGTGACATAGGAGAATGCTCAATGCTGATGCTCTCTTGATTCTTGTTTCTTCTATATAGGACTGAATTCAATGGAGCTGGTAATATTAAACCCTCAGGTTCATGGACGGATCCTAGTGGAAAGCGTAAGAAGGTTTGTTAACAATCTCTTTTTGTATTGATCTCTAATGAGAAGTATCGCAGGGATGGCAAGCGGTGCGGTGCGGGGCGGGTTCTCTCTTAACCCGCAACATTTCAACCCGCCCCGCCCAGTGTTTGAAAAAGCGCACGCTTCGTCGCTTAAAGAGCGAAGCAACGCGAAGCGACAGAGTATCGCTTTTCTGTGCCTAAGGCGACGCGAACAGCTGAAGCGCACGCTTCAGAGAAAAAAGCGACGAGGCGAGCGAAGTGACGAAGCGATCGCTTTTGAAGAAAAATCGCATCTGGGCCTATTTTTTTTTTTAAAAAAAAAAGATTGGGTCTGTTTTTAATTTTATACAAAACAAACCCCTAATGCTGCGCGACATAACAGAACACAATTGCTGCGATTTTCTCTCTTCTTCATCTAAAAATTAGGGTTTTGGGACAGAAAGTTTCTGCTTTCTTTTCTCTTCTTCATCGCAGCAGACCAGCACCAGTCCACAGCTCCAGTCGACCAGTCCAGGTAAATTTTCTTCTCATTTTTTTTCTTCTTTCTTTCTTTCTTTCTTCTTCTCATTTTTTTCGTCACTGACTCGCTGGGCTGGAGTTCTGTCTTCTTTCGTCCTTCTTCTTTCTTCTTCTGAGTTTTGTCTTCTCTTTTTTACTTCTTTCTTTCATTATTTATAATTTATATATTTTATATTTTTCAGTTTATTTGATTTTTTAGTGTATATTTCAGTAATTAAAATTAATTATTATATATGTTATATTTCAGTTTATTTGATTTTTTAAATGTATATTTCAGTTTGTATAATTAATTATTATATATATTATATGTATTTTCGGTTTATTGATTATGTTTTTTCTTATATCTTAATAGGGATATTAAATTGTTGATTCTAGTAATTAGTAGCTTTGATTTTGCTTGTCCTATGGTTTGTGGATGATTTGGTGGTACCTAGTACCTACTTTTAAGTATTTAAATTGAAGTTTTTGATTATTTATAAATTTACATTATGTTTTTTAAGAATTGCCATTCACTTTAATAAAGCGTACGCTTCGCGTTTGAAGCGAAGCGAGCCCTTGTCGCTTTTTTGCGCTTCGCTCTCTCCAAAACACTGCATGCAGCTCATGAGAATGTCAAGAAGTTCAAATAGTTGCTTTATTCATCGTCAATAGATTGAGAACTAAGGATGGCTAGGGAGTAGGCAGCAGGGGAGGAATGAAGTCATCAAGTAAAACAATTAATCATCAGAAACCTTGTTTACTACCCTCTTTTCAGTATCTTATCCTTCACTGCAACCTTCACCCCCTCCTCTTCCATCACAAGGATTCACAGGGGTGTGCCAATATGCTGAATAGCCGGTGAGCTCCCTGTTTATGAGCATTATTGTGTCTCTCTGCTTGATATCTAAGGAGTTCTCTATCGAGAAATTTGTGTGTTCATAATATTTATCTTTTAATTTATTTGTTACCAATGGAAGTAGTAATATAATTCAGAATTTCAGATTTTAATAATTTTTAACCAAATGTATTAATAGGCATTAAAATTCATTGGAAGTGTTCATGAGATTAGCATTGTACATGCAAAATATTATTTTTGTGGGACAAGCACATGCATCCAAAACCTATTGCTCGCAGATATTCTATGAACATATAGATTGAAGAATTAATTAATAACTAGTGCTGGCTCAATATATATAAGCAAGTTGGATTCTTTATATATCTTTACATTGAACTATACTATAACCGGCAATGAAAAGAAAGCAATAGCACGTGTACGAGATTGATTGTAGGAACAAAGTTCAATATTACTAAAACTATCATATGACTTGGAACTTTGCTGCTGGTATGGTAATTTTATTTGAAAAATGAATGTCAATCTACATATATAGGTAGTCTTAGTTTCTTTTACATTGTTTTAAGAAAAACTTAAAAACAATTGTCATTTACGTACATTTTAGTAATCTTGAAGGAAGTAGAGATAGATTTAGGATTTGTAATACATGGGTGCACTGCTAAAAAAGAGGAAGAGAAAATGTATTAAGTGAGAATTGATCTTTATTCCACTTGGTAATTAACTCAACCTTCAACCAAGTGCATCATTCAACCTTCGTGGAGCACGAGTGCCAACAGTTAATATTATACCAATTTCAGAAAATATGTACATAAAATATCTAATTCTATGAAAAGACCATGGGTTCGCGTGCCCTATATTTTTGCCTATAAATCCACCCCTTGAAGAAAGTGCATCTGTCATGTCAAAGAAATGCAGAACTTGTACGATCGAAGCTCTAAATATCAAAGTTGAATTACCCAATTACCATAAAAAGTGCAATGTTCATTTACCCTTCATCTAAAAGATTACTCCTATCAACGTAGAAAATATAATTAAAAAGTTATATTGGATTTTAAAGTTTGCTCTAAAATTGTCATGAACTTATTATGGTTCTTGGTTGTTTGCGAATTTCTTCCTTTATTTAGTTAGCTAAATATTGGTCCAAAAAAAAAAGTTAGCTAAATAGGATCAGATTAATCAATTTCATAAACTTACATTTTTCTATTTGATTTTTATTGTATAACGTAAACGTAGTGTTTAACAATATTTATGTACTTCTAAAATTTTATGTACTCATTGATAAGGATATACTAGGGATACACGCGCAAAGCGCGTGCCCAAAGACTAGTTAAGGAAAAACCGTTAAAGTGATGCATAGCGAAATTGCATATTCTAGCTCTACCAATCCTTGAAGCACTAGGCTGCAGATATTCTCCCCATCCCACTGCAGGTGTTACAACTAGAATATTGATTATTGGTGCAAGGATACAATGAAGGAAGCCTCGTGAGTCATAGAGTATTACAACTAGTGGTAGATTAACTAGAGGTGGTAAAACCTTGGGCAACCTTCCACTTCGCTAGTGGTTTAGCAGAAGGTGATATGCAACAGGAGTGTGCGGAAGAGTTGACAGAGGGTGACAGGGACTGGCAGAGTCAGGCAGATGCTCTGATGGAGTAGTTGGGAGTAAGCATTTGTTAAGGTTGGCAAGGCAATGCACGTGGATAGTTTTACCGAGAGCAAGAAATACTTATCTTCTTAGTTTTCGATCCTAACATGACATCTAAATATTTCAATATAAATTTTCCCAACTTCAAGGAGAGGATCATAAAATAAATTTTAATATAATCCACATGACGCTAGTCATTAAGCCACAGAACAAAGAAACAACAGCTGCAAAAGTGATTTTCTACAGCATTCATTCAACACTAAGCTCAACAAACACCCTCAATTCCGTCAACAGAGTAAACAACATGCAAGTCCATCCACTGTAAACACACACAACAAAGTGCAACTCAATTTGGACAAAATAGTAGAGTAATGACATCAAAGCATAAATAATTCACATTAATTGGAAAAAGTTGAATTAGAATTCAAAACAAGCAGACTTACAAATGGGATTGTGGAGGCTTTGTCATTCCAAACAGCTAACAGCCCAAGCCCCACGAAAAAACTCAATCCACCACTCAACCAAGCCAAAGCCTCATACTGCCATTAAAAGCAGTTCAAGAATCTTCAGATATAAATAATTTGACTAGCAAAAAAGAAAAGCTTAAAAATGTAAACTGTAAAAACAATGAAGATGGTGATTCAAATACAAATATTAAGTCAAAAGAAATAACCTTTCCAACAGTAAAAAAATCTTCAAATTTCACATATAAAATAGAAGAATCAACCCGATTAGCTGTCCACTCAATCGCTTAAACTAAAAATAACCGGCAGAGGTACAATATATGTATAATTTATGTTTAATAGGTGTATAATCGTGCATAATTAATGTATAATCTACGTATATGGCTAGAAAAATAAACAATAAATATAGTTGGCTACTTGTGTAAAGATCCCTATAAAATATTCAAGTTTCATATTATAATTAATTTGACTAACGAAAAATTTAAATTAAAAATGGTAAAACATAAAGCAGGAACTCAAACGCAGATCATAAACGAAAAGGGCAGTCCGATGCTCTACACTCCCGCTATGCGCAGGGTCCGGGAAAGGGCCAGACTACAAGGGTGTATTGTACGCAGCCTTACAAGAGGCAAATCATAAACCAAGACTTTAACTTTTCCAGCAGATATAAATATCACATTTTAAATATTCAACCTTCAGATTATAATTATTTTGACTATAAGACAACTAATCTTAAATCTAAAAATCTGAGCTTTCCAACAGCATCAGCAATGAAATATTTAAATATCACATTACAATTAAATTGACAAGCAAAACCGAAAAACTGTAAACGGCAACAAATGAAAAAATGGGAATTCAAAACAATCTTAAATTACAAATAAGAAATTAACCTTTCCAACAGTATCAGCTATACGATCGATACATGGCTCGGGAAAAGGAGTTCCGTTATCCCACGTAAGTTCATCATTCACTCCAAGCTACAATCACACCAAAAAACTAGGGTTTGTCAATCAAATTAAAAAGACCAAAAAAGAATGAAACAGAAACAAGTATAAGTATTGAGTATTAATAGTAGAAGCATTACCGGCTTATCAGGTACAATGTGTTTGCCGACGGGAAGTCCCATACCGGCGCGCGTTCGAAGAGAGGATGCGACAGAGCGGGCTACAACGCCGTTTCCGCCCATGATGCGAGCGGCTGCGTTACTCAATCGTCCGGCCATTTTCCGATGATCGGAATTGTTTGTCTCTCGCCGATGGTTCTTCGTAATTCTACGATTTGCGATTCAGTTCAATGTTAGTGGAGATTGTGTACTGCGTTTCCATTTCCATAGCCTAGGCAATGAATCCAAACGACGTCGTAAAGTTATCTCTCCATTTTATCTTTTGGTCCTAATTTTTGGGTGGCTTCCAGAAATAGCACCAAAGTTTACTATTGTACGCAAAAGCACTCCCCTAAAGTTGGAAATGCGAGAAGAAGCGAGATAAATTTTCAAAAACCACTATTTTTTAGTGGCGATTAATTTTATATAGCTACCATATACATAATTACTTCATATATCTACTATTTAGTTATTAAGTGACTGTATTCGCGCTACTGTATTCATGAATACAGTCGCCTACAAAATAGGAGAGTCCAGCTCTTTAATAACGAAAATATGATCAATTAACGTGTATCACTCCTAATTTAACTGAACAAAATTAATTCTACAAAAATTCCGTTGCTACTATGATGTATACGTGTGATTGTATTTATAAATACAATAAGGTATTTATAAATATAGTGATTGTATTTGTTGTATACGCGTTTACTATATTTATTAATACAGTAGCGAAATTTGCCTAAAAAATAGGAGAAACTGTTTAATAACGAAAAGATGATAATTAGCGTGCATCACTCCTAATTTAACTCAACAAAATTAATTCTAGATAAAATTTACTGCTACTGTGTTGTATTCCATGCATTCGCGTGATTGACTTTGTAAATACGGTGAGGTAATCTGCCTAAAAATAGGGATTACATATATTTAATTATGTATTTCATGTATTCGCGTGAATGTATTTATAAATACAGTAAGGTAATCCGCCTAAAAAATAGTGATACGAGCTTTTAATATTGAAAAGCGTAATATTGAGTTTATTCAATGTCACTGTATTGAATTGTGTTGTATTCAAACAATAAAAAATCAAGAAATGGGATGTATATTGTTCTATTCAATTCGACTATATACATTGTATTCAATTTACAGATATTCGTTATTAACTATTATGCATTGTATTCAATTCGACTGTACTCAAATAACAAAAAATCACAAAAAACAGTGATATTCGGTTGTATTCAAAAAATACAGATCTTCGGAATACATAAATACAAGCAAAAAATAATATATTTATACAAAAAGACAATGTATTTGAGTGTAGGTGTACAGAATACAATGTAATAATATCATTTTATGTGACTAAATAGCAAAGAAGAGAAGAAAGTTCGCCGGAGATGGCGTTTTTCGGCCAAGAAAATGTTGTATACATTATATTAAAACTAAAAATGGAGATAAACAAAAACCCGGCCCTCAAATCTTCTCCGGCGTAGCCATGGCCAGATTTGTTCGCCTAGGAGGATGAGCCAATAGTGGATTCTGACGCCGACAACGACCACGATGATGACACCGATGATTCTGCTGATTTGAGGGAGAAGAGAGAGGATTGGGATGATTCTGCTGATTTGAGGGAGAAGAAAGATGATTGAGAATCTTGCTGAGAGAGAGAGAGAGAGAGAGAGAGAGAGAGAGAGAGAGAGAGAGAGAGAGAGAGAGAGCATAATTGGCGTATTTCATGCCTCAATAGTAGGTATAAAATAAATACCTTTTTGATATAAAATAGAAAAGATAGCTATAAGTAATAATATTTTGAAATTGTTTTGGTTTATAATATATAGGGTGTAATAGTTTGCTATAAGCATGGGTGAAGCTATGAATCGACCACCCTTGATCAGAAAATTAAACTGCGTATATTGATAAAATAGTAAGTTTTNTAACCGAGATCAAAATACATTATGTAAGGGTATAAACTCTGAAAAGAGGAAGAAGCCGAGCTACAGAAAAATTCCCGCCGCTACCATAGTAGCAGCATGTATAAGAGCCGAAATGGGAGTAGGCCCCTCCATGGCATCAGGTAACCATACATGAAGGGGGAATTGGGCGGATTTAGCAACTGCACCGGCAAATAAGAGAACAGCACATAAAGTAACAAATAAAAAATCGACTTCATTATTATAAATCAAGTTATTGAATATTTCGAATAAATCCCTAAATTCGAAACTCCCTGTTATCCAATAAAAACCTAAAATTCCTAATAATAAACCAAAATCCCCTACACGATTAGTTACAAACGCTTTTTGACAAGCATTTGCCGCAATAGGTCGTGTAAACCAAAATCCTATTAATAGATAGGTAATATATAGGGTGTAATAGTTTGCTATAAGCATGGGTGAAGCTATGAATCGACCACCCTTGATCAGAAAATTAAACTGCGTATATTGATAAAATAGTAAGTTTTAAAGGTGTATAACATGTAATGAACACCCTTCTCAAGGACTTTTTTTAATTATTTCAAGTTTGAACACCTTTAAAAAATTCATGGCTTGTCAACGGCTATAAGAGATAAAATTTCCAAAAAACAAACCACTAGATTAGACCCAAAATTGTCATATGATTGATTTATTTTTTAATTTACTTTTTTATAACCAAAACATTTGAAGAGTTGCCTCAATTCTTCAATCAAATAATTATTTAATTTGCAGTAAAGGCATTTAGTTTTTTGTGATAGATATCTGTAATGACATGCTATTCAATTTGATTTTTTCAGAAATGTAGATTTTAGATAGGCATATACATGTCTTGAACGACCTTTAGATTTTCATTGGGCATATATCTAATTTGAATGGAACTTATTTTCCTTCATTAAAAATTTCCGATAAAGTAATTATGCACTGTCCTTCCAAACATTATCACGGTGACTGTCACACCTCCTTTTTCGCTACTACACCCCGTGAAGGGTATAATAAAAGGAGTTTTTTCAATTAAAGGACAACCGAAACGGAATTCATTTTATTAGGAGATTCAGAGTCGCCACTTGGGAGATTTATGGTGTCGCAAGTCACCGGTTTGAATCCCGAATCGAGGAAAGGGTTTAACTCTGTTTAACAATCGCGAACCAGAAATCCGGGTAAGGAATTCTGTTAACCCGGGAGAAGGGGTTAGGCACTTCCGAGTTTCGTGGTTCTAGCACGGTCGCTCAACTGCTATATTTCGCTAAAGTCTGATTTTAATACATGTTATCCTATTGTGCAATTTTAGAATTACTTACCGCTTTAATTAAATTTTTAAGAAATTGAACGTCGTTTAAAATATATTTTTGGATCACGTCACATGAAATGCACCCGCAATCCTAAACATATTTTATTCAACGTTTTGGGATTTGGATTTGGGTCACATGAAATGCACACCCGAGTTTAGGAAGGTGAGATTATTAAAGAACGCGCCTAAAGCAACTAACGTGTTATTAACTTTCTGGGAGGCCATGAAAATTCGCTAAACGGCACGTCCCGAGTTCTAAATATTTTAATAAAGTAATTAAAGAGGGCCACGCAATTTGTGATTTTATTTGGCGCGGCGCACCTCAATTTGTTTTTAAAAGGACATCCTAAAGATGAACTAATATTATCTACAAGAATTATCTCTAAAAAACTTAATTAATTAACATTATTAGTTAACTACTATTAAAAGCGTTCAAGAAAACTCGGGCCTCAAGATCAAGTCCAAACTCAAACAAGGACGCTCTCCATTACTGATGAGACCCTTAGCTCGAGTCTGCCACTTAACTTGAGAGGCCCACCATTTAATTATTAACGGACCAGTTACTATTTCAATCCCGGGTCCAAAAGGAGCCCAGTCCACATGAGGTGCACGTAAGATGAAGCCTCCACAAACGCTGAAGATGGCCATGCCAGGCCAGAATCGACTTGGGCTCGAAGCAAGCCTAACACCAACGGAGCAAGTCCAGATCGAGAAGGGAGCCAAGGAATCACATTTAAGCAATCACATAGAAGAAGTATTTAATCTAAAGAAAGACATTGACAACTGATTATCCATTTGCGGATTTCGTAACTTGAGTCAAATTACCACAAAACTAAATTGTGAAAACCAAACGCTAATGCATAGATCTTGAATTAACTGGAAACCATTTTAAACACCTAGTACTCACAGAATATAGATATACTTATGCAAACCAACAGTTTAATCCTATAATCACTTCTTATGCTCACCCAATACATCCACAATTAAAATTCAAGCTAACGTCTAAACATGCTAACACACTTTGAAACACTTGAAAGGAATCGGTATTACCTTGCGCTAAACTCTAGATGAATTCCCTGCCTTACGAACAACAAGAACTCAATTATTACAGCTTGACCGAACTACTAGAGGAATACCAGATCCATACACACTGGATCAATGATAGAATCTGATAATTCCTTCAGCTAACATGGATTGTAAACTTATTATATTACTGAAATTAACAGCTACACAGTTCTTCAATGAATTCGAGCACCCAAATTTAAGGAAATTAAGGGGGGGGGGGAGTGAACTGCAAGTCTAACATACAAATCATTTCAAGTAATAGTTAAAAACCAACTATAAACCTAAATTAAACAAAGGGCCACAGTAAACAAAGCAAAACATATCGTTCAACAAACTGAAAAGAATTTCATGCTTCAACATCTTTGTATCAATTCATTTTCGCCAATTTTCATTTCACAACCAACATGGTTACAAGGGGTATACCTGAAAGTGGAAAGAAACAAAATCAAAGTTATCAGCCGCAAAAACAGAGGTCAGCAACAGCAGTAGAGCAGCAGAAAGCCACCCCAGGTTCAGGAGAAGGAATTATCAGAGTTGCGAACCAATGAAACAGTGATCCAATATACCAAATAACTTCCAAAACGAAACAATGATCACCAGACCAAATAACTTCAAAAAAAACGACTATTACTCCCAACTTCAAACCACTTCCAACTCCAAATGAATTGCAGATAATTTCAAAAATGAGAGAAAACTTCCAGAAATCCAAGAAGGAAATAAAAAGAACTCGATGAAACAGTGAACTTCAGTTGTTTTTTTTTTTTGATTTTTTTCTGATTTTCTCTTCTGTCTCCCTCTCTATCAAATAGTAGAACTTGAGATTTTTGTATTTTTGAATTTTTCTTATCAATCTCTAGCCGTCCTGATTTTTCAGATTTTTCTCCTCTCATTCTTAGGCTCTCCAACCCCT